TGTCTCCATATCGAAGTTCCAAGTACAGCGAAGTAGTTTCCGAAAAGGTAGGTGATTCTTAGAATGAGATCGAAGAGATTTCGGGAAACGAGAAAATTTTTAGGTGTCCAGAATTTATGAAAACAGCTGTAATTGTCGATGAACTAAGCTGTCGGTGAAGTGATTGTCGGCGAAATGCGCACCACCGGTATTCGGTATTTGGTATTATTGGTATTATACATGTATATATGCATACATGCATACATGCATACCTTATCTGATACATAGGAATATGAAAGTTGACTCTAAAGGTCAAGTTTTTATTAAAGTTTAGTCTGAATTTGTACATGTTTCTTGTATACTCAACATAACAAGTATTGAAAAAAGTGTATTCAAACATACACATTTTTTCCAAAATTGTCATAGCATGTTTAAGAGTACATGATGCACGTGTAGACGCTAGTTGAGTTCCAAGCTTGACTTTTGGAGTCGAATTAGAACCAGATCAGGCTTTTCACATCCATATCAGCTATGCATCAGATAAGTTATTTATTATTTGTTATTTATGTACAGTACGTACATATCAGACGTTGTATGTATGCTATGAGTGCCGTCAAAGGATAACCTGTCATCGAACTTTCAATTATATTTTGTGTACAGTTAGTCGTCTATGGAAAAATCTATCATGATGGTAGATTTTCCATAGACGACCAATTGTACACAAAATATAATTGAAAGTCCGATGACAGGTTTTCCTTTGACGGCACTCATATGTTGTATGTACGTCGTGTATGCATATTACACATGGCCAATTTGAAATTTTAACGAGATTATACATGAACCCTTACGTCATTTCATTCTTAATTTTTAAATGTTTTTCAGCATTTAGCGTAGTTCCCCGAACACATGGTTATCTAAATTATGTAGCTAAACTTTTTCAGTTTTATTAAAATTTGTAGAGGTTGTACTCAGATAAGGATAATCCGTGAATGTATCTGCTAACCGGGTCATAACCATGCTATTCGGATAACCCAGATTAAAAAAATAATTGTTCTAAAGACTTAATTTTTTGTACACGACATACCGATATTATATTATAGCATCATAATTTTTGTTCTAAACTAGCCTACAGGTCTATACATATTTTAATAAATTGTATACGTAATACTGTATATCAATTAATCACTGTTTAATGCGAATAGATAAATTAGAGAGACGTTAATTGTAAAAATTTTGAATAACTAATTTAATAATAAAATGTCGCGGCTAAAGTAGAAAATGGCTGATGCTGAATTAGACCCTTATTTAAAAAATAATTCTTACTAAAATCCATATACACTTTACCAACATCACTACCCTAAATTCTAACTAACCTAGATATAAAAGCTAAAAGATAGACTCAAATTTTTTTAAATTTCATCCGATGTGACCTTAAAATAGGAACAAAATTTCATCATTAGCCATTTTTTATTTTAGCTATAACAATAATTTAAACAGCTTGGTTTAAGTTCGTTAATTTAATCTTAAATCTCATAATTTCAACCATCGCCTTTATTAATTGATATACAAATTCCATATACTTGAAATCAAATTACTGACATTAAGATAATTAAATTAATGAACAATATTCATGCACTACAGTAAATCAGCCATGTAACGGGTCGACCCCGGATCAACTAGGTCAACAAATTATTTTTCATCCGGATAATCATAAACGTAAATAGTTAAGCAGATTTTATATATGCAAATACATAATACATAAGGATGACATTTATATCTATATTTAGAAAGCATTACTGTTTTCCTTTATTATTATTATTATTATTATACGTAGTTTAAATTTATTCTTAAACACATAAATTACATAAATAACAAAGTTACATAAATATTTTTTCGGAAAAACTTAAATAGTCATCGGTGCATTTTGTGCAACTTATTTTAATTAGTAAAGGAACAGGTTATTTTTAACAAAATTTTACAGGAATATTTTGTGTTGGAATGTAAATGGTGGCTTTTAAAGCAAAATTTCAACGTACAAGCGATTGTTTTTTTTTTGTTTTTTTTTTTAAGAGGAGTTTTTTTTATCATCGCAACATGCACGTGATCATGAAATCTCATTGACCCAACCAAAAAAATGCATTGTACTAATTTACATAATGATAGGTGATCGAATGTCCTAATGAATCATTCCAAAATTAAATTACAAATAAATAAGAAAAGTGTCTATCTAGAGATAGCACCAAAATGAATCGTATAAAAAGAATTAGTAGTAGGATGATTAATGAAACTAAAATAGATTATATAACCAATTGATGTGAATAAAGGCGTGAGCTTAATAAACTTGATTTGATTTATTTTTTCACAGAAGGCCTTTTAGTTTATTATTCAGTTTAATTCAGTTTATGTGAAGGACGAGCCTGAAAATAAAACGGTTGAAAATTGGTCATTTTGGGAGGGAATTGTCGGATCTTCTTCTCTTCGCTCTTCAGAAAAAATAGGTACACCTTCAACCAAATCAGTATAACGTTGGTCAATATCAAGAGCATTGTTGGTTGAATTTACATGGATTACAGTTTGAATTCTTGGAATTGGTTGAGGATTCATGGTAGCGAAGCAATTGTATTATACTGTATTGTTTTGTTTTATTTTTTTTTTGCCTGTAATTTTTTTTCAAAAGAATATCTTTGAAAAAAAATATGGGTGGAAATTGAAGTCAGTTTAATTAAAGATTGAAATAATGGGAAGCAGGCATTTTATATACATTTCGTGATTACGTTTATTTTACACGTATGATATGAGTAAATTAGTGTAATTTTTTTTTTTTATTTCGTTTAGTTGAGATAAATATAGATTTCGTTTAAAGCAATTAATAATTTAAAGATTGGTTTGAAATATACATAGAAGCATAATAAATGCACAGTCCACAGTGTTTTGGTTTAAATTGAAACAGGATTGTATTTAACAAATATAGAAATTTTGTAGTACAGATGTAAGCACAGATCCTGAACTAATAGTTTCAAGACGTAGATCGATTGCAGAAAAAGAGTGTAAATCTGGAATATCCGGAATTCTAATCAACATAAAGATTAAAAGTTAACTGGCACATCTACCAAAATTAATTGTCATATGGCAATAGGATAGTACATGCAACTACGTATGTTATTAATAATTCAATTTAATTACACAAAGTTTTAAATTTAGCAACAAACATCCTAAATTTATTGTTTTTTTTTTTTTTTTTTATCAACAAAGAGGAAGGGATAATTGTGACACCTTCTGAAACAGATAATTTTCGAATTTTTACGTAGCAAAGTTGTTATGTTGTGAATTTCACTATATGTAAATAATATTATTAATATTAAATGTATAAGTTTAAATATACATATATATATATAATAATATATATGTTAAATATTAACTAAATAATAAATACGTACCATGCGACTAAATATTAGGAGTATCAACATAATAAAAACTTCAAGAGACTTGTACAGCAGTACATTTTATACATATCGTAGAAATTAATTTTTAATATGAAGCGGTTTCATATTAAAATAAATGCTGAAATAGTTTCTACGACATGTATAGTACATTCAAAGTTTTTTTGAGTAAATTACTTCTTTATTGATAGATGTATTCATCGTACATATAATTATTCGTATCCTTCCTGTAATTTAAAATAATGATAACCTAACCAAATTCGATAAAAAAATTTATAATTAAATCACAGAAATGTACGAATAAAATTGTAGTTATGAATTCTCTTCGAAAAAATAATAAATGTCATGTTTTTCCTAATCGAACATCATCCTCTAAGTAACCTAAGCAAATATATATTTCTGTGAAACAAACAAAAAGGGAAAATCTTACAGAGTGATAAGAAAGGAAACTTTTGCGAAATAACTATTTATTCCTCTCGAAGCGGGAATAATGAAATATTTCCCCTGATCTTTTCGGCTCCGAGGAGAAAAGATTATGAATATTATTCACCCGTTTTATTAATTAATGGCCGGAGGCTATTTCCCTATTAAGTTTGAATTAAGTTGTGCCCAGAAATAATAGCGAAAAGCCCGTAATTAACAATTAGTAAAACGGGAATAATAATAATTTTAGTTAGGACATTGGGTTTCCAGAAGTAAAATTTCATCTATTACTTTAATTAGTGTCACAAAGTAGATCAAACACTTGTTTTCTTGTTTTCCATCGCTTTGCGCACGCGTCAAAAAAATCTGACTGGCTATTTATTTTTTTCGGATAAAAATCGGTTTCGGATAAAAATCGGAAATAGCTGATCAGTTCTAAAAGTACGAACAAGAATGCGCATTATGTCACTTTGTCCTTCTTTAGAAGAGTGAATAAATTTGTAGGTGTAATAGTCGATAAGTTTGGTAATACTGGTGGTTAAATGACCTAAAGGACAATTAACTAGTCATTGAGTTATTTCATAATCTAAATAACTTAAAGGTCGTTTAATATATGTGTATTGCAAAACAAAAACCTGAAAATACAAATTAAGGTTTTTACTGTATCGGATTTAACCATGAAGAACTGTGGTAATACGTATTGAAACTTGTGTACAATTGATGTTGCATTAATGATGCCTGATGATTGATGAAATTCCTGATAATCGACGATTGGTTTCTAAATCTTAAATGTTTTCAAAATTAGTTATTTATTATAAAGTTTCATTGGTTCATATGAAAGACATAGTAATTTTCTAATTGACAAATTCTCAACTCGTTGTTGAAATGTTAACTCTACAAAAAATTAACAAGCTCATATAATACAAAAAATTAATTTTTAGCTTAACATTGCATGAAATCTGAAGCCAATGGTTTTTTTTTTTGTTACCAGTGAATTTCGAATCTGGAAATAGGTCTGCACTTAGTCTTAAGGCCAGACCGGTCTGGATCTAATTAACTTTTCAAACCAGAATTACTATTCTAGATTATACTCCATAATTTTTGCCGGATAAATTTTATAGTATATTTTTTTTAAAATATATTGCTAATTATATTTGTATTTGTTTGATATAAAGAATAACTTCTAATGCTATAATATTAATTATCTATTAAACTGTTTATCAATGGCCAAAAATTATTATTTTTAATCCGGAGTAATCTTAGTAGTTCTGAAGTATAAATCATTTATTCAACTTCTATAGCAATATAGAGTGGTGCAACATATAAACCACACCGGTATGGTGTGGTTTATACATTAGAATATTCTGGAGTGTAACATTCCGTTAAAAGCCCTGTAATTTTCTTCGTTTGACACATCATATATACACACCTTCGAGTGATTACTGCGATTTCGTTAGGTAATATTGGATAAATATGTCATAAAAGAGAAACTGGTAAAGACTGGTAGATATGATAATAAATAAAAAAATTAGCTTCACATAAAAGAAAAGAATAATAATTTTATGTCTATCAAGTGTCATAGGTATCGTTATTCGTTATCCTCAATTCGTTATTCAGAAATTGACGAAAGTTTGTTACGTCATAATGATTGACAACACATTGAATTTATTTAATTTTTGTTTATTTATTTACACTGTTATACATTATCGCTATGCATTATCTTGCAGACACTAATATAATGATTCCATTTGTTACATAATTTTTAAATTTACAAATCAAAACTATCAAGCATTAGAGATCCCCCATTCGGCATAAATTTAGTCACTCGTCAACCGACAAATTGGTTCGTCATTCATCAGGTGTCATTAATGTGCATACTATAAAAGTGATCACGCAATCGGAGGTCAGCGAAAGCTTAAATATTTAATTGGAGATTTTTTTAGGTAAAAACTAATTTTATAAATAAATAAATAAATAAATAAAAAAATAAATATATATATATATATATATATATAATACGTAATTGATTAACATTCATGCATTAACAGTTAAGTTAATCGATTGCATATATTTAGAAATTTCATGTAATTTTAGAATAATTTTTACTACATTTTTCATATGTTACTAGCACAAATAAAAATTTTTCACTATGAATTATCCCATGAATCAACCACCTGTTCAAGTGATGGGAGGTCAACCACCAAATGCCGTTCATATCAATTTGCTCCTCGATGTTCCTGTTCAAAGATACGAAATCCTGGTCAAGGGACAAAAAGATCCATTTCCTAGACAACAAAGAGCAGGAAATCAGGCAGTGCCTCCGTCTAGTTTTATTACGGGAATGACATGGGGATAAGCTTCCATAAGCAATGATCAGCCAATCATTTTTATGATTGGCGATCATATACGCATATGAATATCAATATTTTTTCTTTATTTATTTATTTATTTTTTTTTTTTTTATAAAATTTTACCTAGCACTAAAATATGCTAGGGCACTATC